GAATGTAAAAATGATCGAATTCGCAAAATCCGTACTCTGTAATTTGACATTCGCATTGAAATTTAGGCCTTTCGCAATTATTTTTCCCTTTCGCATTGGTAGCACTGTGTATTGCGAGAGCGAGTGTCAAACGGTAGTTTCATTCGCATTTTTACTGCTACAACTGAGAAGCATTCGCAACGTTTAAAAATGTAAGTTTAAAATGCAAATTGTATACTTTTATAACTGAAAATACATGTATAACAAATTTTATATAAAAAGTATATACGGAAAGTACGAAAACGAAACAAACGCAGAAAAAACAATTCGAAATCCTCGTAGATTTCATGGTAACTCATCCGGAATTGGCCAAGGGGTTGATGAAGACGCCAAACGCTAAAACCGTTTCCACCAATCTATGGAAAAGAGTTACTTCGCAGCTAAATACAGCTGGCCCACCGATGCGCGACATGGTCGGTTGGAAAAAAGTAATTTCAGCGCAATATGTATACAAAAATTATTTTGAAAATGTAATTTAAACATCTTTTAGGTTTGGGCTGACTACAAACTACATTTGAAGGCCAAAATGCGTCGGAACAAAACAAATATTTCGGGTACAGGCGGTGGGCCTTCTACTTATACCCAGCTCACACAATTGGAGCAGCAAGTGAGTGAGTTACTATCAATGGAACAGTCGGTGAGCGGTGTAACAGGCGCAAGGGAGTTTGGTATAGCGCAAACCGTGACCGAAATACCAATTGAATGTCAAGTAGTCTATAGGTGATGCAAATGATTCTGTTGAATCCAACTTGCATGAAAATGAGGAAGGTATTTGCAATAATGACGTGCATACTCCGCGCAAAAAGTGGAGTCTTTTAGAAAAACAAGTGGAAGACCAAATTACGTATCAAAAAAACTCCAGCAATGTTTTAGGTGAAATTAATGGCAATTTGAAAAAAATATTCAAAACAATGAAGAAAAATACAAAAATCGAAAAGAAAAAGTTGAGTCTAGCACAAGAACAATTTCTCCACAAACAAAAATTGAGACTTGAAGTAAACAAATTAGAAATTAAAAAGCAAATGTTGGATGTGGAATTAAAAACCAACAATGTACATTGAAGTATTATTACGTTTAGAGAATTTATTTAAGATTTTTTATGTTTGTATATCTTATTTACCTTATTTTAATAAAAGAGCGAAGTGATATTTATTTAAAAAAGATTTTTTTTTAATTTTGTGTTAAATCTAATTTGCAGTGGCAAACATATAATTTTTTATTTGATCTCTTATACTTCTAGCAATATTTCCAAAACTATCATTTTCCATATTGTCTACATTAACCGCGGATACTTCTTCTGGTTCAATTTCGATATTGAAGGGGTTTCCACATTGTACAAAATACAAATGTTGTGAAGAGCACAACATGCATTAAGTATTTGCACCACTTTTATTGGAGCATAATGCAGCTCCCTTGCGGCTAAAAGACAACGAAATCGTCCTTTCAACACACCAAAAACTCTTTCAATTATCGACCTTCCTTTCGACAATTTCTGATTGAAGATGTGTTCATCAGAATTTTCCGTAGCACTTCTATATAGGGTTAAAAGCCATGGCTCCAGCGGATATTCTGAGTCTCCTGCAGAAATAAAAATATAGGAATTTATAATAGTATAGCAGATACATTAAAGTAGCAAACAAACGTGTTTGTATATTTTCATAAGTACGGTAAAACCTGTCTAAGTTATTAGTACTTTTGTAAATACAAATCATGCGTATTTTTGAATACAAGTTATACTAGTGCTTTTGCATGATAATACAGGCGCTTGCATGTCGACAAATCTACTATATATTTGTGAAAGTATGTATGTATGTGCCAGATTGCAGTCTAAACGGACGGACAGAATCGAACAAAATTTTGACAGAGTATTACCATTACACCTGGGCCTATAATAGGGTGAAAAAATTGGGATCCGACAAGGGGGCGTGGCACCTCCCATAGGCGTGAAATTTTTAATCAGCCATAACTTCCAGACCATAAGTCACATGAACTCGAAACTTGGTATGCAGACATGTCAATGGTAGATGCTTATAGGTGAGTATATATAATCAAGTTTGTAAAAGGGGGCGTGGTACATCCCATAGGCGTGGAATTTTTTATCAGCTATAACTTCGGAACCATAAGTCACACGAACTTGAAATATGGTATGCAGACATACCAATGGTAGGTGCTAATAGGAGTGTATAAATAAGCGAGTTTGTAAAAGGGGGCATGGCACATCCCATAGGCGTGGAATTTTTTATCAGCTATATCTACGGAACCATAAGTCCCACGAACTTGAAATTTGGTATGCAAACATGTCAATGGTAGGTGCTTATAGGAGGGTATATATAACCGAGTTTGTAAAAGGGGGCGTGGCACACCCCATAGGTGTGGAATTTTTTATCAGCTATATCTACGGAACCATATGTCACACGAACTTGAAATTTGGTATGCAGACATACCAATGGTAGGTGCTAATAGGAGGGTATATATAAGCGAGTTTGTAAAAGGGCGCGTGCCACATCCCATAGGCGCGGAATGTTTTATCAGCTATAACTTCGGAACCATAAGTCACACGAACTTGAAATTTGGTATGCAGACATACCAACGGTGGGTGCTTATAGGAGGGTATATATAACCGAGTTTGTAAAAGGGGGCGTGGCACATCCCATAGGCGCGGAATTTTTTATCAGCTAAATCTACGGAAACATAAGTCCCACGAACTTGAAATATGGTACGCAAACATGTCAATGGTAGGTGCTTATAGTAAGGTATATATGAATGAGTTTATAAAAGGGGCGTGGCACATCCCGTAGGCGTGGAATTTTTATTCAGCCATAAATTGGGAACCATAAGTCACATGAACTTGAAATTTGGTATTCATACATAGGTATCTA